CGGTGCTTTAGGCTTTGTCTGTTCCATAGAACTGTCAAGCTTTGTGAATGTTTCATGTGTCAAGATGCTTGACCTAACTAAGCACTTTCTAGAACTTTCATGTTACATTTTTATGCCAGGGGCTCCAGACATGCCACTTCCTCTGTAGCACAGGGCACTTGGGCAGCTGTATGTTTTATTAAATCAGACATAGAAACTGCCTTGCACCAGAGGCAACTTTTGTCCGCTGCTTGGAGCCTGTCTTCGCAGCGCAGATTGGAGATCTATTTTCAGCAGAATTTAGAAGGCTAACTACAAAGCACAAAGGCCTCTGGTCTGATTCTGTCCTTCTGGTCTGATTCTGTCCTTGATGATGGCACAAGGCAGACACTCCTGTTGTTTGATTGCTTTATTAGACCATCTTTCTATTAAACAGCCACCGTTCTTGTTGGTCTGTTATGGGATTTTCAACTTTATGCACACATGCATATATGTATACAAACATATGGCTGTGCATTGTATTTGTATTGCTAGGGTTGGAAGGGCTTCTGAAAAGTTCAAATTGACTGGGATGGGTTCCAGAGGCTTCAAGAAGGTTCGATCTTAAGCCCCTGGAGTGTGAACATTTAACCATATGGAGTTGCTATTGCCATCGCCTATTATATTGCTAAATGTGAACCTACGAGTCTTGAAAAAAGCGTCAGAGACACTACTGCTTAAATCAGAGAGGATGAAAGCAGTATTTCTCGAAAGTTGTTTAAGTATGGGAATGTTAAATCAATGCCAAGTCTCCACCTCTGAGTGTGCTTTCCATCTGTGTGGCCTTCCTAAGAAAGGAAGCACAAGAAGAGTCGTTTAGTTAACACAAGAAAGCCTGACTTTCATTACACAGTTGTAAGAGTGCTAAACAAAGAGGCTCAAAAGTCTGAGGGAGCCCTGGAGGAAGATGAATAAGGAGCAGAAAATCTACCAGAACAAGATCGAGGAAGAAGCTTACGGGTAACAATTTCTGCAAACAAATATTTGATCGATGTTGAACTATGAGGCTTGAACATCTTGTTCTTCAGTGATCTCCTTCAGCTTCCACCATTATCAGGCACTCCCATTTATAAGCAACCTGTTTCAATGAGACCTGGCTGTGCAGCTCTGGCACCTATTTAGCTTTTGTGAATTGTCTGAAAACATGCGACAGAGGGGATACATTTATCAAAATTTTAAATAATCTTCAAGAGGAAACACTCACACAAGAACAACTAAATATTTTACTGTGTAAATGTGAAGAAAGCAAACAAGGGGACTTTTCACCTGGCAAAGCTTTGAGAATCATGCCAACTTGTAAAATGGTAGATGACCACAATTAGGGCTCAACAAACTGCTGAATCTACTCACCTGTGGCGAGTAGATTTCAGCTGGTCGCTGCATGCGCCCCATTCACCAGCACTTCACAGATGCGCAGCACCGGTGAGTAGCTCTCACCGGGGTTTGTCAAGCCCTCACCACAATGAAGTTTTGTCCACTTTAAACCATGTGAACCTCCAAATGTTCACAATCACAGCGCAAGATACCCTCATTGAGCAGAGATGATGTGCCTAATCTTTATCAAGCTATCCCAACACAGATCAATCGAATGGCAGGCATTCCAAAGAGAATTGGAATATATTTGGGCACTACAGTTATGCTTTGGTACAGTGTTGACCAAGCAAAAGGCTTGGTCAATGGCAAAACTGGCACCATCACCACTATAACATGGCCCTACTTTCATGAATTTGGTTGCAGTGGAACAGATATCCCTAAAGTTGAAATTGAATTAGAAGGTGATGTCACAAAGCACATTGAGCCAATCACATGTCACTTTCAAGCAAATTTTGGATAAGGCTTGGTGGAGCGGTGAATACTTCCAATCATCCATGCTTATGCAGTCACCGTCCACAAACTGCAAGGGATCACAGTGGATAGAGCAGTTGTGAACCTTGGCTCTACAACTTTTTTTTGCACTAGGTAACAGTCTAGCTCAAAATACATAACCATATCAAACAATCTTGCAGTTATTAGTTGAAACACTAGATTTAAGACCAAAAGCAGCTGCTTTTGCGCAAAATCTTCCCGCCTGTCTACACTGGCCGGGAGTATTTGCGTAAGAACACTGACTTTGTAATGTACAAAATCAGTGGTTCTTGTGCAAATACTCAGACGTGCCCGCTCAGGGATAAGTCCTCTTCTGCAAGTATTCTTGCGCAAGAGGGCCAGTGTAGACAGCAACTTTAATTTCTTGCGCAAGAAAGCCTGATGGCTAAAATGGCCATTGGAGCTTTCTTGCGCAAGAGAGCGTCTACACTGGCACGGATGCTTTTGCGCAAAAGCACATGCCAGTATAGACACTCTCTTGCGCAAATACTTTTAACGGAAAAGTTTTTCCGTTAAAAGTATTTGCACAAAATCATGCCAGTCCAGACGCAGCCCCAGTATTTTTCATCTTTCACCATAGGAGAGCCATTCCAAACTCCTAGTTTTTTGTTGCCCTTTTCTGAACTTTTTCCAATGTCATATCTTTTTTGAGATGAGGGAACCACATCTGTATGCAGTACTCAAGATGTAGGGATACATTAAGATATTTTCTTTCTTTTTTGCTATCCCTCTAGTTATTCCTAACATTCTATTTGCTTTTTTGACTGCCGCTGCACACTGAGTGGATATTTTCAGAGAACTATTGACAGTGACTCCAAGATCTCTCTCGAGTAGTTGTAGCTAAATTAGTTCCCATTATATTGTACTTATAGTTGGGATTATTTTTTCCAAAGTGCATTACTTTACATTTATCAACATTAAATTTAATTTGTCATTTTGTTGCTCAGTCACTTAGTTTGGCATAGACGGGCATAAAGTTTCCAGTCTGTTCTAGAAAAGGCACCTTTATAGCCTCAAGATGCTGATTTAGTCTCCACGTCTATCCATTTCTCTGCTTCAGGGGGATAGCCAAGTTAGTTTGCTAACTTCTGCTTGCTAAGTTTGTCTCTCACCCAAACTACCCCAAATTCAGTCCAGTAGCTGAGATGAGACTTTGTCTAGTCAAACTTCAACCATTTCCTACAGAAAGGTTTGTCTGAGGGGAGGGGGAAAACAAGAGTGAGCAGTGCCAGAGCACTAAAGCAAGACCTTAGACAGGCCATGCACCGCTTTCAATGCGTAGAGCACTTCACAAACATCTCAATCCTCATAACAGCCTCAGGAGGTGTTATCCCTCTTTTAAAGATTAGAGGTACCTCTACACTGCAGGCTAAAGTCAAATTAAAATATGCAACTTCAGCTATGTTTGTGTAGCAAAGTAGCTGAAATCAACTTTAGGTGCGGTCTAAACTACAGGCAGCACTGTGAAGCTGGTGCTGCAAGGAACCAATTATGTCAGCTCCCCCCAGCACTGGCTCCTGCCTGTGATCCTCCCTCCCCCCACCCCGCCTCTGTAGGAGGCAGCAAGGGGGTCTGCTTCCCTCTCGAGTCCTAATATGCTATGAAAGCTGGCTCCCTGCACACATTTGCCCCCACATTGTTGACTATCAGAGGCAGCAGTGTGGGAGTGGGGGAGGGCAGGCAGAGCCAGCTCCTAATGGGCACCAGCTCCTTGCTGCCTCTGATACCTAGGGGGGGAGGGGTGGGAGAAGAGAGAGATGTGTATAGTCAACAGGATTAACTGATAAGCCCAGGTTAATTTTGTTCAACTAAACACTAGTATCTCTAGTGGAAATATCCTCTTACATCACACAGCAAGGGGCCAATGGTGCCAACTCTCAATTTTATTGCAAGTTTTTCAATATTTGATCTCAGCTGCAGAAGGCACGTGACACTCAAGTAAATTTGTTTTTTTAAAAAAAAAAAGCTTCTGGACCTCTGTGGAGAAAAGGTTGAAAGCAGAGGCACCCTGCACCCTCCCACAGCCCAACAATTTGAAAATAGGTAGCAATAACCCCACTTAAAAATAAATCACAATTATTAAACAAGTCAAGAATGATTGAGTGCGTGGGAATGGTGATGCTAGCAGTGTCTCCAGGTCAGGGATGAGGTAGTTGCAGAATGGGAAAGTTTGCACTGCTGTTTGGCCTCTTCTAGGCCATCTCTGCTGTTGATTTGGCGCCCGTCACAAGGAGACGTGATTTTTGGTTTGAAAGCTCTCTTGTAAAAAAAATTGAAGTTACTACACCTGCTAAAGTGACCACATGTTGGCACTACAGTCAGGAATGTTTCAATCACTATTAGGATACCTGTAAATTGATTTATTAAACAGTATGCTAGGAGGCTTACTACACCTAGGTATGATGGTAGGAAACCTAATGGATGAGTAGTGTGCCACTTAATACACCATCAGTCAATCAGGACAAAGGGACTGATTTAAGATCCTGGATAGTTAAAAAGGAGGCAAGAGCTACATCATTTAGAACCTGAAACAGTAATAGTGCCTTCTTACTGTCAGCTGCGATTGACCCATTTGGCAGAGTGAGCATAACATCACTGCTACTCAAATCAGGGAGCCAAAACACTATTCATTTACTTGGAAGATGCTGGGAAGCTGTACAAAGAGGACAGGGTATTCAAATTGAACTTCCTGGTCACGAGGAGGCGTACTACTGTTTTCAAGTTAACATGTGAAATACTTTCATATCAACCCCAGCTGGTTCTCCAGGGAATGGTCATAAGACACCAAGATTATTAACAGGATGCATTTCTGTCAGACATTAACAAGCAATGACCAAAACAAGGCATAAGCATGGTAATTTTAACAACTGCAACCTATCCTGCATGTAGCTCTACATAGAAAGGTACACCTGTGCTAACTTTAAAGAATGTAATTGCATAACTATTATATACAATCCAGTGAGGTTATTTTAAAGATAGGCTATATATATGCACTGTGATACAAGAAGATCACTTTGTCAGGCAGCTACTACACACTACTAGCTCAACTGTTAGCGCAATATGCAGAAATGCCAGCAAAGATTGTAAAAACTGACCCTACAGGTTTTTTTAGAAAATTTAAACTTTTATTATACATACTGTAGTACACTGAAAATACGTACCCAGAGACAGAAGATCTTGAATTTACAACTGTACAAAAAACAATTAATAGAAAACATAATAGCCTATACTATAGCTGTAACATTTTACAAAATGACATTTCTTGTTAAAGGCACCAGATTCCCGATGGGCTCTGGCTTAACATTTTCCATCTTTCTAGTCAGATCTTGCTTTGAGAGTATGAGCCAACCTCAAGCTCTACTATGTCAAAATATAATGTTTCTTTTTTAAGCGATCTGCACTTTGACGTCATTCAGAGGGGGGAAATTAGCAATGTCACATGGGCCTATTTTATTAATTACTCAGAAGATTTTTCCCCATCACATCCAGCATTATTTTATTTGACTGAAAGGCTAATAGCAAAACTACAAATAAAAACTTGAGGATCCTTAAGCCACTGATCCAGTACTACAGGGTCAGTCATCATAAGAACTGGGCAGTTGAGGAGCAGGGGAGGGTTGAATGGGGAATTAGAGCACTTCCTCACCTAAGGAGAGATGAAAGGCAGAGGAAGAGAAAGGAGTCATGTTAATGGTTTCTCTCCTGTACTTCACCTTAGCATGCTAAATAAGCTAAGCTAATTTTGAGTGGCCCCTCACTAACCCTCAAGTGTAAAATTCTCTGGAGCAGTTTTGTTTGCAGAAGCTAATGCACATGTGAAGTTCTGGCTCTCAGACTAGGGTCTAGAATGTTGGGCTACTGTAAAGGGAAATGAGATAGGATTGTAAACAAGTTTGCTCTGAGCACTGTGTGCACCTCCCATGCCTAGACAGTGGGGGCTTCCACACACTTGGTTTTTGTTTACCTTTGCAATGTAACTCTGTACCTCAAGTATAAAATCTACCTAGCAACTAAATGAATGAAAAGTTAAGACCTAAAATATCAAATTCAAGGAGTCAGACTTGCTTTGTAAAGTAAAGATTAAATAGCGTACAGCAATTCAAGGGTTGCTTCGCTGTTTCCTGAACCGCCTGGCACACTCTTATCAAAGCACTGGTTCAGCCTTTCCACGGTTTTTTTCAGTCTTTTCTCTAATCCAATCTTGCTTTGAGTGTGAGAGCATCTCAAATCCTACAAAGTACCACGTTTCTTTTTTATTTTAAGTGGTCTACACTTAATGTGGTTCATTGGGAGAAATTAGCAATTTCAATTGAGCCTATTAATTACAGTGGGCTCTACATTCAGGTTAGTTTCGCAGAAGTGAAATTATTCTGAAAACATTTCAATGGCTACTTTCCTTTCCTTTTTTGTTTTTAAAAAGGACACTAGACACATAGAGCTAGTTGAAATAAAGTTACAACCCTTACGGTTACATCCAGCCAAGAGAAAGCAGCTTTTGTATTTAAAAATAAGACTGCTAATTATTTTAGCAATGTTAAATTGTCTCAGTTCTAGTAGTAATTAATTTAAAATATTTTGTTTATTTAAAAATGAACTTGTCTTAGTGCAGATGACCAGTGTTAGTAGAGTAGGCCTGGAGATTGAAGTCTTGTCCATCCACACAGGAAGTATAGAGCAGGTAGGAGAAGTATAAGCTTCCTCCATCCTGTTTCATTCTGGTGCTTCAACTGAGTTCTGGAGGGACTACTCAGAGTGGGGGCATCTTGCCCATTCAGTCCTCCTGCCTGCTGCTGATAGCTGAATTTTGGGGTATGGACATTTGTCCACTGCACTGAGTACCCCAACTCCTCATGTAAACTGAAGAGCCATCAGATGACAGCTTCCGATTACTACAAAACGGAGCTGAGTTTTGAACTAGTAACTTTGGATGCAAGTCCACTCCCCCTAAGGCATCCAGTATCCTACAAACTGTTTCTTATTAAACAAAACAAACCCCTGTATTACTAGAGGACAAAATGTATTAAAGTAGTAGCAGTTATAACAGTGTCAAACTGGCGTAGGTTATAGAAAACTAGGTATCACATGGATTTTTAAAACCTGAAAACAAATGAGATTGAAAAGGAATGCAATTTATTCCTTACACACTTTTAAAAAGACACATACTTTTCATACTCTGACTTTAGCCCTTCACTTGTACTGTATTAAAGAAGCCATTATCCATTATGAATGCACCTATAGGAATTCATTCTAAAAACTAAAACCCCTCTTATTTTGCCCCTATTTCTTGTTTGTCTGCTTTGTATCACATGGAAAATAGTCCATCTCTCTGTAGCAATGGAGTAATTAAGTAAAGGGCATTTTCCAGAGTGACAGTTATGCTGAGTTATTCTCTCTCTCACACTCACACTCCTTAATGATCATGGAACTCCCATGAAGGTACCAACAGTATAACTCAACCATTAAGTGTCAGAATAGTTAATTTAGGATATTCTGGATCTTAATTTTGTTGGAGCAAATATACATAATTTTGATCAGATTATAAGAAAATGTTATAAATATTTCCTCATCAATACACTGCCTGTTGTGATAGTCACATAGCTGGATAATATGAAAACAAATATGCCCAATATTAAAATAAACTGAATGACTTTATCTATAGGTCATGTTGGCACATAGATGAATCACTTACAAAATATTTGCTTTGATCTTAGAAAGTCTTATGCTGGCCTAGAGTAATAAATTAATGTTTCTTTTTAAGGCCAATCCTGGGTCATCAGGCTTAGGCTCTCCCAATGCTGTGAGACTTATATCTTTGTACTTCTCCCTCCTCAGCATAACCTTCCCAGGCAAGCACAACTCCACATATGAAACTGGCTGAAAGAAACTGGATATTTTAATACAAGTCTCCATTAAGGGCCAAATTCTGAAGTCACTACTTAAGGCTGGTCTACATATAAGATGCATCACTTTAACTGTACCAGTTCAGTTAAAGTGGTACAGTCATAGTGGTGTGTGCATATATGGTATAGCTATTCCTGTGTGGGAAAAGGAATAAGCTATACAAGCATAAGACCCATTTATGCTAGCATAACTGCATTCACACTATGGGTTGTACTGCTGTAACTGTCAGTTTTAAAGAAAGTCACACTCAACAGCTATACCAGTACAAATACTGTGTGTAGCCCAGGCCTTAGTAATCAAGTACCCAGCAACTGCTTAGTCAAACTTGTATTGAAGCAAGAAAAAAAAAGTGGGGGAGGAGAGGAAGAAAAAATTTGCCATAATGGCAGTCTTGCTAACCTTCCACACTCACAGATGTGACAGTAAGTTGTTTGTGGCTAGAAGGGCCACTCTTAAGACTGCAGTAACACTCAACTGTGCTTGAGAGGTGTGCAAGTACAAATACAAGCTTCATTCCCTCCAAGAGAAAGGTGTGTTGCCCAGCAGGCTTGCTACACAACAGCCAGACATTAATCTCCATCCTGTGCCTCATATGGTAGCAAAGTGCTATGATCTCTAGCAGCCTATAATCAGGGTAGGACATGTTTTTTTTGGCAATCTTAAACTTGATACTTAAGGAAATTCTAAATTTTGATATAGAAAAGGGTAAGATATTCAGTTCCCCTCTATCTCAACTGATTTATGCCAAATACAGATTAATTTGTGCAGGGCATTAACATTTGAAATACAGTAAAGATAACAAAGCTTCTCAAACCCACCCTCTAACCCTGGAAAAGACAAGCTAAACACACAGTGAGTGCCATTAGACATCTATCGCTTGCAGTAGTTAGATTTACTGCAGTTAAATTGCTGGAATAACTGTACATACCTGTAATGCTACAAGCATACATATGTAAATAAAACCCACAAAGTCAAAGTAAAATTTCTGCAATAAAATCTGTGCCCTTTCTTAGTGGGAAATTGTGATCCTGTAATTCTCCTTTCTTCAGTGTCCAGAACGGAAATGCTCCCAAAGTGAAAAGCAAATTTTCAGCTGTGATCTCAATTTCTGGCAGCCTGAATCACAAAAATATTAACTTTCCCCTCTCCGCCAAAAAAAAAAAAAAAAGAGAAAAAAATCATCCATCAGTTTGACAGCATCTTCATACTGCATTCATTGAGCCCAGTTAGTTTGGAAAGCCACAACTTGTGTTGTAGAAAGGAATAAGAAAAACCTACACATGAATGCCATTTTGTACAACTGACACACTCTACAGGAGCTGGCTGAGTCTAGTATTGGTTTGGTCCGCAGTTTGTTGTTACTGACTCTTAGGAAACATTTGTTATAGGTTTGTACTTCTTGAGTCTGGTCCACTGGCCCGTGGCATAGTTCATTTCAAAGACTGTGTCAACTAACATGGTGGTGCTCCCAGTGCCATCGGCCTTTGGTAAAACTTCTGTATGCTCACTAAGTTTAATCTGAATGATGTCGCCTTGCTCTTGGCAAGGATTCTCTGTGGAGACAAGAATTAAAAACAAAAACAGTTAAGCTGCAAGTTAAGATCCATTTCAACACAGTGTGTTAGCAAAATTTAAGGGTAAGGAAAAACTTTGGATCTGTCAGGACCACAGGGAGGAGGGAACCAAAAATTTGATAAGTTACAGTATCACTAGCACCTAGAACAAAGCTACATGCTGCTTTCATAGCTCACATTCTGAGTTCACGAAGTATAACAAAGGGAACTCAACACCAAAGTACTGAATTAAGGAGATGACAAAGGTAACTAGGTTGGGATGGCTGGAAAGAACATTTGCACAACTTTGTGTGGCACTGTAATGAAAAGATCTTTAGGATCTTAATGTCAGTTCAGCTTTAATCTTTAGAAAACTAAATTATACTGCTAATATAGTTTTCTGAAAGTCTTAATAGATTTCATTTATTTTAGAAGATGGGATGAACACTGCTTCAGTGAAAACCTCTTTCAAATCTACACTACAATCCCACCACTAGGAAGAATATTACATGTTACCTTAATGCCATGAACTATAGATAATACAGATAGAAGTTAAGAAATATGGTCATCCACTTAACCAACTCCACTGTAAAAGGGCAGGTATTGCTATAAAATATACATCTCAAAATAGTTTGCATCCTATTATAGATATAAAATAACTCCTGCATTGCAAACATTGTCTATAAAATTCAGTTTGGAGGTGTTTTACATGTGAATGCCATTTTGTACAACTTACATACTCTACACAAGCTGGCTGATTATAACTTAGTTTGGTCCGCAGTTTATTGTTATGGACACTCTTAGGAAACATTCATTTTAGGTTTGTACTTCTTGAGCCTAGTAGGAGCTTCTTGCTCCTGGAATCCCAGGAGCTGTCTAGGGCCAAGAACACCTTTTCTCACTTGTGCCTCACAAGGTGCACAGGACTTTGTATTTTTTCAAATCCAGGCTTCATCACAGTATTTCCTACCTTTGTCATTTTGACAAAGGGTTACAGTAATGCATTCTACATGGGTTATGCTTCAAAGTGCTCAGACACTATAGTGATGAGCACCTTATATGCTAAGACAGATATTACTGCTGGTGCATTGGTTAGCTCCAGGACCATTGCATCAGTTCTCAAGAATTGCAGTAGCATTGAATTCTCTAGCTATACCCGGGGTGCTAACTTGTGGTATACAAAGCCCTGTATGCCTTGGGACAAGGTCTTCCCTCCCTGAGATTCATCAGAGTATTGGAAGTCGTCTGAAGGACTTGAGTCAATATTTGCCGGATTTAAAACACTGAAGAATTAGTGAAAAGCTGTATACTTAGGAACAGGCTCTATACCTCTCACTCATCTTGCTGTGACACACCAGCACTCACTGGGCTTCAGGACAGCACAAAGCCTATTCACATGTATTTTTTTACCTGACAAGTATGGACTAGTCTGGTCTGCAGGGATAACCCCCCTCTCCAAGAGCCACCGTGAGCAATGGTATTATGGTTATTTGTTATTTAGTGAATTATGTGCATGTCCTAAAGGGCACATTTTGTAGCTCGACAAAAATACAATTTGTCAGGGCAGTCAGAAGACAGCACCCCTCCAACCAGTGTTCCTTGTAAACTGAGTGCTTGTGCAGCCGCTTAGGGGAGATTCCAATGCTGCACAGCTGATTCGCAGAGTGCTCACAGTTAGGCTTGTGTTTCTCTTAGTGATGCGCATAGCAAAATGTATTCCACACATGGATGGAAAAGATTAGAGGAAACATTGCCTTCAACCATGACACAAGATGCTTCAGATTTCAGCCGGTATGTTGTCACAGCCATGCCATACAAGCCTTCCATGCATATTCTAGGGGCAGCTGTATAATTCAGCTGTTACCAGAAAGCAAAGTGAAACACACCATCTCTCTGCCCCGCCCCCCAATTTTTACATGTAAGACCTGCCCAGATTATCACTAAAGCATCATCTTTATATTTTAGTGGTTCTAGACCATATTTCATAACATCTATTGGCCCTCAAAATAATGCTAGTTTTACGTGCCTCTGGATCCTGCCATGAACCCAAGAATAAGAGCCTTTTCTGGCCTGGTAACTTTGTTTGCAGTCTTGAACATTTCCTGTGCAGCATACATTTGCTCCCTCTGAAAGATATTAAAGCAAGTGCATCTTAGTGGAGAACACAGTCTGTTACATTCAGTATCCAAAGATAAGACACCAGTTTCATGGCGATCTTTATTCTTATAGAAAATATGTCCACTCATTCCTTTTTGTAACAGGAACATGGTGGCACGCATTGCTGAGGGTGCCAAAGAATTCACTTTATAAGCCCCACTGTCATACAATTTTAATGCAGTCACTTTTCGTGACAAAGCATAGCCTCTTGGTGACCCCTCCAATCCACTTTTCCTTATGGACTACACCAGCACATTTTGTATTTAAAACTTAGCTGCTTCTGCTGTAAAAGTTCCAGGGGTGGGGGGAGAACCCCACTTTGTTCCCTTGCCCCTTCTGCCCACACATAGTCAGCAAAGTGTTAACATTTTATATGAACGAAAAGGCACTGAGGATAGTCAGGAGCAACTGCTTCTTCCACCCTTTTGTGATGTTACAGATTCTTTCTACCCAGACTGGCAGGCAACAGGGCTGCTGCTGGGACAGTTTCCATGAAAGAGATTTAAGAAAGACATAGAAAAGAAAATAAACTCAACTTTTTCTTAAGGCCCTGATTCTTCAAATGTCTATGCAAATGTTTAACAATGAAGACTCAAAGCTCATGATTGAGGGCTTCAGCTAGCAGGATTCAGGAAGGAATTCCAGCTCCCAACTCAAAGATGGCTACAGCTGGAGGTGGACACTGCATGGAGGTAGTCCTGTGCTCTGCAGTGGTACTGTACATTTTCCCCCTCGTATGCTTCACTGGCCTGTTCTTGCTCAGGGTCTGTCTAACTGAGAAGGAGTGCCCCCCCCCCAGGTTAGATTGTGTGTAACCTGGGATGTAAGGGGGAGTATCTTGCCTTCCTCTGCAGCATGAAACATGGGTCACTTGCCAGGATCATCTGGGGGTGTCTCACTTAAATCATGTTCTTTCCACTGCAAGGGCGTTGGGTATCGCTACACTTCTGTCCCTCACATCCTGCCTGTGGTACGTAATAGTCTGGTTCCTGGTGGGCTGTAATACTTTGGTCTAAGTTTGGTTGTTGGGTTTAGCACACAGGTGCTGGATGGCATTGGTGGTCTGTGACATACATGATGTCCGAGCAGGGATCTGATGGTCCCTTCTGGCATTGAACCTGGGACTACTCATGCATTAAGGTTACAATCTCTAATCAGCAACAGAAAAGATATGCAGGAAATGTCAGCTATACAAAATTACTAGACTGCATTTGACCATTTAAAACTTTCACTTAGAAACAATCAGTTGCTATCTTTTTCCACTGTATGCCCTCTGTGCCAGTTTATAAGCCCTCATCAGCCAAACAAACAGCAGTTATGGTGGAAATTCACCCTACCTCCATTTCTCTCAATGTGTGATTTTTAACAACCTCATTGGAATGGTTTATGGTTACGAAATACAAAAAATTAGTTGGGAGAAGGGGTATTACTTAAACAACAAGGAAATCAAGTAAAGAAAGCTTCCTTACTGAACTATTATGTTTGCACAGATAGAAATCACAAGACACTCAAAAACACTCAGTAGCAACATTACATAGATGGCAGAGCACTTCTACTTTCTTTGGCTAGAAGATACTCTCCCCGCAGCCTCATGAATACCAAAATCCAGCATCTGCCAAGCCATCAAGAAGAATTAGACTGTTTTTCATCTACAGATCTGTTATTACTTACTGTCAGAGAAAGGCTTTTCTTGGGTGGTGGCTGCTGCGGAGTTTGGGGGACTACTTGTGGAGGTTGTGCTACAGGGGAAATGGCAGGAGGCGTCGTAGGTGTCAGAGGTGAGGTAGGTGTAGCTGCAGCTGGATTGGAGTTACTGTTATACATGGGTGTTCGCTGTTTAAACTGAGCAGGAAGAGGAGTAGTATTTGGAGCTGTAGGTTCGTCGGGTTGCCTATTCGTCTGCAAGGCCTCTCGCACAGATCCAGCTGCATGAACAAAAGTAACAATTTTTTAAACAATAAAAAACCACCTGCAATTGGATAACGATCTCAGACACCACAGTGCATTTTAAAAGTACCTACATACAGGCAGAGAAGAGTTCCAGAGAGCCCAATTTTAGTAATGTGATTAAGTGAGCCATTTATTTTATTTCTAGATTATATTTAAACTACATTCTCTCTCCCTTTCCACTGCATTACCTTTATCGATAATGAAAAACAGGGGCCTTCTACCAGGCAAATCTGTGCTGCACTATACTTAACACTGAAACTTGTATTGAATGGTGTATGCTTTATAAACTTGTGAGTTTCTACTCCATAATAAGTATAGCACAATTCTTGTAGGAAGACCTATCATGCAGGAGCTGATATTAGAGATGTTTCATTATCTAAACTAAAAAATAGAAACAACTTCCAAAAGGAAGTCAGAATTAACTACACATCTCAGTCAGTAAGGCTATGTCTCCACAACAGCATTATTCTGGAATAACATAGTCCACGTCTACACAGCAAGCAGTTATTTTGACAATGTCTAAATAATGGTGTCGCTTATTTCAGTTTAGTCCTGCTGTGTAGATGTGCCCTAAATGAACACTGATAAGACAGATTTCAAAACAAGCTAAGCCAGGGGTGGGCAAGAGGCTGCCAGTGGACCAGATCTGGCCCGCGGCCGCCTTGCTGGAACTCTTTGGCACAGAACAGTTCACATTTGAAAAAGCCAGCTGCTCCCCCTTCTGGATAGCTGGAGAGGGAGGAGGGAGACATCTCGTGCTGTTCCCGCCCACCCAGCAAAATCTCTTAGCTCCCATTGGCCAATCTTGACAAAGCCTCGGCTGGGTTGATTTAGTTGGGATTGGTCCTGTCTTGGGTAGGGGGCTGGACCTGATGACCTCCTGAGGTCTCTTCCAGCTCTATGATACTATGAATCTATCAGTTTCTGGCCAATAGGAGCTGAGAATTTTTGCTGGGAGCAGGGGCAGGGTAGGAAGCCTTCTCCCTTCCTCCTCCTCCCCCTCCCTTTCATGCCCAGAGTGGAGCCACATGGAGCAGCCTGCAGTAGACCGTCTGCCTCAGGTTTCTGCTGATAAGCGCCTCCTAGCCAGAGCCTCCCTTCACCAACTCTCTACCTCCCTTACACATACTCAAACCATCTGCCCCCTCCAGCACCCATGCCCCCTCTCAGATCTGGCACCCCATCCCCTTGCCCAGATCACAATCCCCTCCTATCCTAGGTCACATCCCAAAATCCTGTATGCCAGTTGCCTGTCCTAGATCACAAATGCCTCCATCCAAATTCCCACCCATGCCCCATTCTCCCTCCGGCATCCCAATTCCTTACCCCAAGCTCCCATCTGCACCCAACCTCCATCCCAGACTCCAGAATTCTCCATTAATATCCTGGAAGAGTGTGGCCATTGACCACTTTCCAAAATCTTGGGAGTACCCTCCTCCACCCGTAAAATTATAGCCCACCTCTGGGCTAAGCAAAAGGAATTATAGAATTAAAATGCAGTCCCTGGATCACTACTTGTTTAGATGACTGCTGGAAAGGAAATGTTACTGGATGCTCTCCTCTCTCTGCCAAAGCAGATAAACTAGTACAATTAACCTCCACATCCCACAGACTAACTAGTTGAAATCCACTATGACCTCAAACATTTTAGAGGAAAATCCCAGACAGTGATATCAGCCATAGCCAGTCAAAGATTCTACAATGTATTAAGCTATTATCTTGTCATTTGAAGACTTCCACAAGGCCTTACAAATTGTATCTATCTATGAATAACTTAGCTTACTTTACCACATGCAGATCACTCTTGGCTTAAAGAAGCTGGGTAAAAATATCAAAAGCCTCATGTCCCACTGATTCCTAAGTTATATAATGGATATTGAAAATACTACTACTATTTAACAATGGTTAGCACCATTATAAACCATTTAGGACAAAAAGGCCTTAGGGCAGTCTTTGAATTCATAGTCAATTGAAACTAGACTGGGAGAACACAGACAGCAAAAGAACAAGAAAAAATTGGGAGAAAAAAGGTGCAGCAAAACACCACACCAACAGCTTTACTCTTGAGGTTGTTAATATCTAAAGTGTTTCACAATGCAGTTTCCTGTATTATGTTTTATGCAGAGTCAAACTATAAAGCAGTTAGATCCTGAATATGTGAAGTATGGCACTAACTAATTTAAAATATTCCCTGCCACAACAATGAAACAAAAGATTTAAAGAAAGAGGGTCTTAACCTTGACCATGAAAACCAGGTAGGGCATTCAAAGCCACAAGGAGTATATGGAAATAGAGATATGGTCACCACAAAGTAAGAGGGAAAAGGACAAAAAGAAAGAGACAATATTATAAATCTAAGGTTTTCAAGAACTTTTAGATCAACTGAAGCATAGGTAAACATGGTAAGGGGTTAATCAAATGGTGAACCCCTTGTAAACTTGAGGGCCACTTTAAAAATAGATTTGCCTATTTATATCATGCCAGTTGGGATGAACAGAAAATGTATGCATAATCCAGACTGTATGCTTGAATAAAGTCCCCAAATTCAATGTTCATGTGGTTCTCTAGTTTTCACTTTAAGATATTTAATCTGGTATAACTTGTGTTTTTTACATTGATTACTGTGGCTCAAATTTCAAATTGTGCATCTAGTTTTAGGAGCCAATTTTTCCACCCACAATGAATTACAGGATTAACTATGAACTGCAGGAACATTTAACTCATTGAAGCTCATGGACATGGGCCCTGAAAAAACAACCTCTGGCAGGCTTTGATGTTTACTCTATAAGAGTAGGAGGCAGGTTTGTATTAACTACAGCACACGAAAGCCAATGAAAGCACAGTACTGGGAATTAGGATCTCTTCAGTCAATCTCTGGTTCTAGCATTAATTTATGTGATTCCAGGCAAATCACTTAATCTCTGCATCTCATTTTTCCCATCTGTACAACAGAAAATACCTAGTGGACAAGGATGTTGACAGTCTTAGACTCTTAAAAGATTTTTGGAAGAAAGATCTATAAAAGCTCAAATTATAGTAAATCAAAACATTCGGTCTTCATTATATGTACTTTAATTAAACAAGATAATGCTACACTCTCTGGCTACAACATACAGATATCACACGTACTCCAGAAGAAACAGCTGGAAAGAAAAAATAAATGTGCAACTGGCAAGGCTCAGAAATTCACGATGCTTTTTCTGCAGTTAGATGCAATGCTTTATACACTAGAAAATAAAACTAGCTGCTGACACTGCTGGTGCTTCAGGCTATGTACTTTCTAGAGCTGCCAAGATGCAGCCAGAAAGAGATTTATGCAGGATTTCTGAGAGACTTGGAGCTCTGTTTCTGAGCCAAGCTTATGTACATTTTATATTTAACCATCTGCAGTGACCACTGTACCAAATTTCCTTTAGTGAGAAATAAACATTGCTATGGTAGAAATCTGTACAAGCATAAGGTTAAAGAATGTTACATGTAATTGAAATGTCAGTTCTCTGTTGACTTTGAATTTATCCCCTAGTGCTTTATTAGAGAACTGTTATTATTTAGGTGTATTAGTTATAATTAGGACGGTCAACTAACATGCATTATCGCCTGTGATTAACGCAGGGCAGAATTAACTAATTAATTTTTTTTAACACGAGTTAATCGCAGGCATTTCTGCTGTGGTTGCATTTTAAAGGGGCAGCACCGCACAACTGATCCTGGGCTCTGCTCGGACTGCCCCTTTGAAACGCCGCTGCGCATTTCAAAGGGGCAGTACTGTGGGAGCCAGGGGTCAACTGGACTCTTCTTGTTTAACAGCACGATTAATCACGGTTCATTTTTTAAATCACATAATTAATCATGATTAATTTTTTAATTGCATGACTGCCCTAGTTATAATATAGACATGTATGATGACAAGTCCCTGCTCCAAAGACTCTTTAATTAAGAATACACAGACAAGGGGGACAGAGGAGGAAAAAGCTGTGTATGCACATGAAGTGGGGGGATGTTTAAACCCTTTGATTCCACAATTCATTCAACACTTATTGTACTCCTTCCCTATTTTGTATTGTTAAATTTAGTCTGTTTTTTTTTTTAACATTTAAGCATTCAGCTGTACCCAATTGATCTTCATAGAAACAGAAAGGAAAAAGATAAGAAGGTGGATAGAAAGATAGGTTGTTGTTGAACACCATGTGTTAAAAGCAGTAAGCTTTTTAAATTACACAATTATTATTTAACAATTGAGAAAATATCACCCTTGCTTTCATAAACCCAGAGCCATGAGGCAATTTTTGGACCACAGTGTATTCTTATTGGCTGGGCTCGCCAAAGCACAGCGAGCCCCGCTCGCCAGCTGTACTGTCCGGCAAGCGCAGATCGCCCAAACCCAACTCTTCCGGGTTACAATCTACTCACCATGGGCGAGTAGATTGTATTATTTGTCAAACCCTGTTTATTGGCTTATCAGATTGCCTATGAAAAAGCCAAACAAGTGAACCATTGAAGGAGATAAAGAGCATCTTAGCCTTTGTCAGCTCTACAATTAAAAATTATTACATAGTTATTTAAAGTAAAAATTTTCCTTTTAAAAATACTGTAAATGATGTGTCTTTTGTTACTAAAAACTACAGATCTTTTGCAAATCTTTCACAAATAATCCTGTTGTTGAAGTTAATGGGATTACTTACAACAGAGAGGGTTGATGGATTGTGTCCTGCATTTGTAATTACAAATGAAGGGCAGCAAAAACATATATGAAAACCAATGTATTAACAATCATTTCTGCTACTGGCATTTCTGCTTTACCTGGCTGCACTTCAGAGCTTGGGATATAAGAGGAAGATGGAACCACGCTAGGGGTTGCAGGCAAATAGCTTGTAGAAGGTAGTGCAGACTCATTGTTCAGAGGGCCAAGTTTCTGTAAAACAACAAGTGTTGTAAATGGTTTTAGAGTTTTGCAGCCATATATTACGTGACTGCATGAAAATTCTGACACTTTACATACAATGTTAACTTTGTCATTTCTTTATTTCTCCATTAGCTCTTTCTTTTTGGCATTTGTATAAGAATTTATTTAAATGGGTGATTTTTCCAGTTATACAAATATAGTTAACTGCTATTATATCATTATCTCCACACATGGAAACTCCTATTCCTTATCTTAAGGAGTGTCTTATTGTAAATGGCTTCCAACACTATATAGTACAACTCCAATTGTCCGGCATCCAGCACTCCCAATAGTCCGGCACCAACTGGAACCCGGAAGTGCTCTGGCCAGCTGGACAACTGGAGCTGCAGCGAGCCCCATGGGTGCTCGCAGCTGGGAAGGAGAAGAGGGGAAGGGGATTATATCCCTGTCACAGGTCTGTCAGAACCTGCACTGCGACCGGCTGGGAGGTGGGGGCAACGGCAGAGCGAGAGGCAACCCTCCGCCGTTTTGCAGGAAGGCGGGGGAAGCCCCACGCCGCTGCTGAGAGTTTCCGGGCGGGGAGCAGGCTCCCCACCCCCCAGACTGCAGTAGTTATCGCTGAGCAGGGGGGCAAGGGGCAGTGCTGTGGGATCAGCCTGTCAGCACCCCAGCTGCTCTGCTCTGCAGCTTCCCCAAGTCCGCTGCTCAGTTTCAGCAGCGGCGGACTTGTGGAAGTGGCGCAAAGCAGAGGGGTGTGGGGTGCTGCCAGGTTGGGCCCGCAGTGCCGCCCCTCACCCCCCTGCTCAGCGATAACTACTGCAGTCTGGGGGGTGGGGAGCCTGCTCCCCTCCCGGAAAGTGGCAGTGGCAGTGTGGGGCTTCCCCCGCTTTCCTGCAAAATGGCGGAGGGTTCGCCCCTTGCCGCGCTGTTCCCCGCCCACCCCCCGGACACAGTGAGGGTCCCGGCAGACCCCTCACAGCCCCCTGCCGAAGTACC